TAGTTTTGCTTTGATATCAAGCGGGATTCCTGTGTTGTGTACACACACGCCCGGACGGACGGAAGTGACGTCAGCCAACCATGAAAAATCAACTCGATGGTTTACCATTTTTTCTTAAGTATGGAGCTCCGCTAAAAACATGAATCAAACTTTCCACTTCTTATTTCAGAGGAGAATCCGTGTGGCTCGTAGATTACATTTCCTCTAGTGGTAAGATACTACCATTTCAGTTTACCGGCACATTTATATATATGACTTAGAAAACCTATTCCGGTCAGTACAGATTGCTTTCTGGAATAGAAAACAGATTGATTTTGGTGCTCACAAGCATGCCATCAAAGAAGTAGTTGGGAGCTTGTAAATATTGATTGAATATCTTCTTAATGTCGCAGTCAGGAAATTCAGATCAACACAACCGGCGAAGAAGAAGACGGTGGATGAAACGGAAAAAGACCCTGTATATGCTGAGGTCCTTGAAGAACAACGTAAAAACGAACCTCCAGTTGATCAGGCGGGAGGTAAGGATCAAAGCTCCATTTTATAATAACAGGGAGTATTCTTGCAATTCGCTTAGCTGACAGCTATGGTCAATAAGAGGACAGCGCGCGCTTGAAACCGTTTTTCTTTTAAACTTTTTTCTCTCGTTTTTAGATGTGTTTTTTTATTGGTCATAGTAAGGTGTTAATCATCTTTGGTCTAGAAGCCGACTAACCTCTCCCTTAGGTTCCGGTCGAGCTTCCTGATCAGGCTTTAATTCCTCCCGGGATAGCGGTGTTGGAGTCGAAATCTCTGGCGTAGCCGTAAATGCTTCGCACTACCATACAACGATTCAGCACTCGGGTCTGGGAGTATGGTCTCCGGTTATTTTTAATCAATCAAAATAAAATAAACTTTCAATAGTAGACAAACAAAGATAAGATATATATCGTGCTTATCATGTTTTGGAATTATCTCGTTTAAAAGCATCGAAAGCATTTATTCGTCCCATTTTCCCTTACAATGCTCGACCTTATCACGTGTATTCTTATTTTATATCATTATAAGGTATGTATAGCTACGCATTTGATGACCCACGGACAGCATACATAGCATCCCAACCAGCTTCATATAACAGACTGGTGCACAATCGAGAAGGGCCTGATCACGCAGCATACACAGAACCCCAACCAGCTTCATATAGCAGACTGGTGCACAATCGAGAAGGACCTAATCAAACAGGATACACAGAACCAAAACCAGCTTCATATAACAGACTGGTGCACAATCGAGAAGGACCTGATCAAACAGCACACATAGAACCCCAACCAGCTTCATATAACAGACTGGTGCACAATCGAGAAGGACCTGATCAAACAGCATACACAGAACCCCAACCAGCTTCATATAGCAGACTGGTGCACAATCGAGAAGGACCTGATCAAACAGGACACACAGAACCCCAACCAGCTTCTTATAACAGACTGGTGCACAATCGAGAAGAGCCTGATCAAACAGGACACACAGAAACCCAACCAGCTTCATATAACAGACTGGTGCACAATCGAGA